GTATTGAGAATACCATGGACTGCTAGGAAAACAAACAGATTAATCCTGGAAAAGGTCAAACCGGGCTGCTCCTTGGAGGCAAGGATTCTAAGGCTCCGTCTAACATACTTTGGACATGTTGCAAGGAGGGACAGGTCCTTGGAGAGGGACATCATGCTTGGTAAGGTGGAGGGACAGTGCAGAAGGGGAAGGCACTCTATGAGGTGGATTGATTCAGTGACTGGGGTAATCGGGATGGGTATATCGGAGATGGTGTGATTGGCACAGGACAGAGCAGAGTTTAGGGCTGTTGTACATAGGGTCTATGAGTCACAAGCGACTTGATGGCACATAATAACAACAATAACAACACCAGTGGTGTGTGAGAGAAGTGTGATGGTATAGTCCTTAGCAAGTTACACTGCTAACCCAAAGGCAGTTTGAATCCACCAGCAGCGCTGTGGGTGACAGGTGGGCAGTTTTCTCCTGTTGTAATTTACAGCCTCTGAAACCTAATAGAGGATAACTTATGAGTTGGACCCAACTCCACTGACAGTAAGTGACATAGTGCATTGCCTAATGTACCAGGTTGTTGATTTTTCAGACATTTTGTGGGAGAAAAATGGGCAACCGTCTCCATGGCAGTGAATGCATCACACTTTGATTCTCTTATTAAAAGTTAAACAGTGGTATAATAAGCTTAACATAGAAATTCCATATGACCCAGCTATTCCACTACTTGGAATATACCCTGAAAAAATGAAGATTGAGGCACAAACAGAGATTTGTACACCAGTGTTCATAGCAGCATTATTCACCATTGCAAGAACATGGAAACAGCCCAAATGTCCAACCACAAGTGAATGGATTGAGAAAATTTGGTACATTGACACAATGGAATACTATGCAGCACGCAGGAGCAAAAACTTTGTAAATTATTACCTAACTTGGGAGGGACTGGAGAGCATGATTTTGAGTGAACTAACTCAGTCCCACAAGGCTAAATATTGTGTAAGACCATTATTGTAGAATGAGTATAAGGATCCAGCAGGGGAGGGAGAGGCTAGAAGCAGAGGGATGTGGATGTACAGGGGGAAGAGGGGATTAATCATTGAGTTATACAATTTGATGGGGAGGGACGAGGGAAATTAAGAGAATTTGTTCCAGTTTATATTAGAATTTTGTAAATAAACTAGTGGAAAAAAATCATGAATGTGAAAAAAACCAAAAAAAACCTGTTCAAACTGATTTGCCAGTCATGGCAGTTTGGTTGTCTTATTAAGAGTTACTCAGAAAACCTCAAACTCATTGCCATAGCGTCAGATCAGACTCATAGTTGACCTCCAGTGAGTTTTCAGGAGGCTGTGAATTACAAGGGAGGAGATTGCCCATCTCTCTCTCTGAGGACCTGTTGCCTTTGAACTGTCAGAGAGGCTCAGCCCTTGGGTTAGCAGTACAGCTCCCTACAGACTGCACCACCAGAACTCCCTGACATTGAGTAAGGTGACAGTTAAATAACTGATTTACTGCTTCTAAACACAAAACCATCTATCAGGTTTCCAAGGCTGTCAGTGTTTGAGAGAGGAGAGCACCAATTTTTTTCTGAGTTGCTAGTGGATATTTTTGAACTGCTAATGAGTAACCTGATATTATGTGCCACCAGGTTTCAATTTCTTACATTACTGAAAAATTTCAGGAAGGATTTTATCATTGTAGTTTTTAGGTTTTATCTTGGATTGGGAAAGTTTTTAGTTAAAAGATTTATTTGTTGATATTACAAAGCACCTTTAAAGTCAGACATTAATTTATACTTTCAATATTCAAGTGAACCTTTCTGGCTATGTTAGATGTTGCTATATTAAAAGAGTAACACAATTTTCTTTTATTTTACAGTGATGGTTTAAAACTTGAAACTGAATTACTGGATGGAAAAACCAAGCTAATATTGTCTCCATTTGGTATGCTGTGTTACCAGGAGTTTAAAATTTTAACATTTCTTTTTAATGTAAAATTTATGCTGGTTTAACTGATGTTTTGCTTATAATAGACAAAGATGTATAGACTGAGACAAAATTAAATGGGAACACTAAGTTTCTCCAGACTTGCTCAGATTTACTTTTAACTAAGTTAAATTGCCTCACTGCTCACCACTTTATATTTAGATGCGCAAAATTTAAAGTTCATGAATAATGCAATATATATATATATATATTTAAAAATAGAAAATATTCTTGTTGCCTGAAGAATAATATCACTAAATTTATATAATTTTGTTCTTATTGCATATATTTACTGAGAAAATTACAAAATGACCCCCAGTTGTTGAAGTAATTTTTAAAGTGAACCTTGAAAACAAAAAAATGTGAACTCTGAACTTTACAGTGTATTTTGTTAGTCTTCTCTTTCATATTGTTTTCTTTTTCCCTTATCTAGCTATAGTTTTACCCGAAGAACGAGAATAAACAAAAAAATAAAACAAGTATTTGTACCACACTATAAAAGTTAGGACATTCAGGCACCACTAAGTATTAATGTTTTATGGAGAATATTTCTGTATTTTTGCTTCTTAAAACAATGCTAATTAAATTTTTCTTTCATGACTGCTTTTGTATATTTTTGGTTAATAGTTTTAGTAATTTTGTTTTTCTTTTGTAGAACATAAACCAAAAATTTCTGTGAAGGTAAGCCAAATGACTTACTTTGATCTGACCTGTTTTCAAATGTAAAATGCAAGGTTTTTTATAATGCTTTGAAAAAAATTCCTGGGACGTTCGAATATTAAAAGGAACAGTGGTAAGAAGTTAATGTTTTCTTACTTTCAGGCTGGTCCTTTCACAGAAATGGCATTTGACTACTTTTTAGTTTATGAAAGCCTGCAGAATCTTTCTGCTCCTGATGAGTACTGTCTAATACAGGCATACCTTGCTTTATTGTAGTTTGTTCTGTTGTACTTTGCAGGTGCTACAGTGCTTACCCATTGATTGTTTGTGGCAACCCTGTGTTGAGCAAATCTATTGAAATAATTTTTCACATAGCCTGAGCTCACTTCATGTCTTGGTCACATTTTGGTAATTCTCGTAATTTATATTTCAGGCATTTTCATAATGCTATAGCACACTTTCCAGGATAGTGTAAATGTAATTTTTTATGAACTCGGAGACCAGAAATTTTATGTGACTTGCTTTATTGTGAGAGTCACTTTATTTTGGTGCTTTTGAACTAAGCCAACTGTAGCCCCAAGGTATGCCTGTAGAACTTTGTGCAGTAATAGAAATGCTGCATAATCTGTGCTTTCACGTATAGTAGCCACTCATCGTTTGTAGTTGTTGGGAAATTGGAATGTGGCTGGTGTGATTAATTTTATTAGTTTTTTATTTAAATTTAATAGTTACTGTGCTGTTCAGTACAGCTGTATCCAAACAAACCCATTGTCTTCAAGTTGATCGAACTTTGGTTACCCTGTTTGACAGAGTAGAACCACCTCCTGGTGTTAACAAGGCTGTAAATCTTTATAGACTACCACATCTATCTTCTGCAGGACAGCTGGCAGATTCTAACCATTGTTCTTGTGATTAGCAGCCAAATACTTTGACCATGGTGCCACCAGGGCTCCTTAGTATATCTTAATAAAACTCACTGCTGTAGAGTCAGTTCTGATGCATGGTAATTTTCCATCCAGTCTCCAAGGCTGTAAATCTTTATGGGCAGAATTGTTGTTAGGTGCCATCTGTGGGGAGAGTACAGGTGTCTTTATCCCGTGGAAATGCTCACTTCCCTTATTGACATCAAGTTGAAACCAAATCATTGCTGTTCCAACAGATTTTTAGAGGCTGCAAATTGCACAGGAGGGAATTGTCTGTATTTCTCCCATGGAACAGCTGGTGGATTCAAACTGCCCACATTGAGGCAGTGCAACCCCCTACCAATTAGGCCACCAGTCTCCCTCATACAACGGCTGATGAATTAGAATAGCTGGCCTGTTGGTTAGCACCCCAGCATGTAACTCACCAGACACCAGGGCTCCATAATATCCCTGTTTCTCTCTCTCTGCTGTCTAGTCCGACCTAACTCATAGCTGAGCCTCCAGCTGGTTTTCAGGGTCTTTATCATCTGGAAGATTGAGTCTATCAACAAATCCTCAAAACAAAGATGGGCATTCAAACTGACTGCCTTTGAGTCAACTATATAACTCCCTATAGAATATGTATAGATTATAGACCAGAACTTCAGTACAACTAGTGAGAACTTTAAAAATATTTAGACTTTAAAATATTTCATTTATTTTTTTCCTGTTTTCATATGTAAATTCCATTTTACCAACAAAAAAGTGAGTATTTGATTCTCAAATTCTTATGTATTATTTTAAAAAGATCACCCTTGGTTTTAATGGTTCTTTTATGTTATCAGGAGCCCACTGTGCCTTTTTCTATAAAATGCCTTATTGTTATGTGCCATCGAGGTGATTCTAACTCATAGTGACCCATATAGAAAGGGATAGAATACCCCATAGGATTTCCTGGGCTGAAAACTTTATGGATCATATATCACTAGGTCTTTTATCCTGAAGAGTGGCTAGTGGATTTGAAATGGTGACCTTTGGTTACCACTGAGCATGTTAGCGCTCCTTACCACAAGTGTTTTATACCACTCCTCTTCTCTGTTTCTTTTTCATATCAGGGGGAAAAAAATCTGTGCTCTTCTGCATCCTCTGTTCCTTCTTCTCTTTGCAGAGTCTTTCCTAACATACCTGCTGAGAGCCCAGTTAGCATGAAAGGACTTTTTGTAGCACTTCAGTCTAATACTTTATGTTCTTCATGGCTTCACCATTTCTTCCAGATTTAATCAAAGCAGTGGATGTGTGATGATTATTAATCATCATCTCTAGTGGTAGAGCCGCAACTTTACTTAAAAATTATTTCTTTGGTGATACACTCTGTGTTACCTGAATCATACAAACATGTTGTCCATCGTTTTCTATTAAAATATCTAACATCTGCAGTATAGACTGTGGAATAGGACTTTATGTCATTTAAACATTGTGTGAACATTATATTATATACAAATACTACTTGGATTATAAGCAAGTTCCATTCCTAAATTTGAGTTTTAAGTTGAATTTGTACATAAATTGGAACAATTGAATATGGTTTGTATCTAATATCAGTTATTTTAATATTTAGTCTGTAGTATACTTCCCTATGCATGAAAAACATTAAACATTCCCAAATACACTAAAACATGTTTAGCATAAAAATACAGTTATATTTATATGTTTTAATGTGTGCACAGTCATGTCTGTTACAATTATAAGCCACCTTACCTGGAATTTTTAGTGTAATAGACTTTACCGAGTGGCTGTGGATGGACATTATTCAGTGCATTGTTTTTAACTGCTTTTATTTGAGGCACAATCACAAACACAGTGCCTCTTTTCAGGCTCCTAGATTTCAGATGATTGCTTTCTGTTTCCCTCTTTCCTCTGTTGCCTTTTGCATTTTGTTCTTCCTGTGGATGTTCCTGTGCATTTGCTACAGGTGTCAACAATGTTTGTTAAGATGCTTCATTGTCTGGTATCTCCTTAGCCTCACAAGTCTACAGCTGTATGTTAATTCTCTGAATTTCCTTGTCACATGCTTTTCTTTCTTTATACTGAGATAAGCTCCTGAGGTGGCTGCAGGACCGTGAGCTCTCTATTTAACCCCTCCTTATAGATTGAATTTCTATCATCTCCATATTGTTCTCTTTAGGTGCAGCTGCATGATAATCTCTTTATCATCAAAGTGAACATAATTAGGGTTGGGTGCTTTCTTAATCCTACCAAAATATTTCCTGTATGTTTCTTTAATCTGAACTGTGGTTATTATTTCCTATCAAGTTGGAACCGACTCATAGCTTACCCTCCAGTGTTTTTTCAGAGGCTGTAAATTGGAGAGGAGGAGATTTTTCTCCCTTAGCTGGTAGATTTGAACCATGAGCCTTTGCATTGGCAGCACAACTTCTTAGCATTAGTCCACCAGAAATCCTCTAAGCTGAACTAGTGAATATGAATTATAAATAATTACCAGTCCAATTCTTTGAGTTTATAGAAAGAGAAAGGAAAGAAATACAGCAAGGTACAGTAATCTAGTTAAGATGTTGAGGAATAAAACTTGGTAGCAAAAAGTCTGTAGTAAAAGAGGTAATGTGAGGAATGTAATGACATGAGATTTAAAACTGGAGTGGGATGGAGATGTCTGGTAGCAAGTAGAATAAAATTTGTTACATATTTTTTATTATCCTGAAATTAAGCAAATTCAATTGTTCAATATTTCTAAATGATTAGCAAAGGTTAAACTTGAGTTTCTTATGGGCATATCCTCTTATTAAATAGCAAAAAAATACAAGCAAAATTTAAAAGAGTGACTTGTCAGATTTTATAAGTAGAGATTATTGTTTATTTATTGATAGCTTGTTATAAAAAATCAACTTCTATTTTAACAGATGGGAAATAAGACAAAGATTGCAAAATGTCCCTTAAGAATGAAGCAAACTGGACACATTCTTAAATCAACACAAAACAATTCTGTCATGAGTGAAAACCATTTGCAAAAGAAGAGAACTGGTTCAGACACTACATTGGAAAAGGGTGAAAAAAATAAAATGACTTTTTCACCTACTAAGGATTTTTACAAGCAGTGTGAAGATACTGACTGTCTTCATATCCAGAGAGGAATTTCCCCTGCACCTCTTAATATACAGAAGACTAGAAGCACCATAAATACATCTGTAGTAACTAAACGGAAGCCTCGAAAAAGCGTCACATCTGAAAATACGAATAGCAATTTGGTATGTCTAACACAAGACCAACTACAACAGATTTTGATGACTGTAAACCAAGGAAATAGATCTGTTTCTCTGACTGAAAGTGGAAAGGAAGAAACAAGTAAGATTTTCCTAAAGTCTTAATATTCATTTTATTAGTATGTGAATATTTTAGTATTTCAGATTCACGAAGTTTTATAAATCATACCATATAAATTCAAGTTAACAGTTTCTTTAAATACTATTTTAGAGGACATTCTCTGATGTACAAAATTGCTTTCTTAATTACAATATGCCACGTTATAATATTAATGCTCAGACTATTATTATACGAGAGCTATAATCTCAGTTCAAAAAACTGTTGTACTTATTTTAAGTTATACTTAAAATAATTATTATGAGGAATGAAATGCTTGAAAAAAATGTAGTGTTGATAGTAAAGATGAAGGAGACTTTTAATATGAGAGTTGAGCCAAGTGTCTAAAAGCACTACTTTTCTGGCCCTGCATTTTGTTTTCCTTATCCTCAAGCAGTGCCAAGAATTGACAGTATCATCTTTGTAACAGCTTGTTACAAAGACTTGGAAAGCCTCTTTTCTGTTTCTTACATCAAGGGATTATGTTATATTTTTTAAAATCCTTCTTATTTCAAGTTTGCACTAAATGATTATGAGTATGAAGGTAATAGAAATGTAAACAATTTATTAGTCATTAAAGAAGCTGCACTGCAATCCCGAGGCAGTTCAAACCCACTGGCTGCTCAGGAGGAGAAGGACAGGCATTTTCCCATGTGATTTACTGCCTCTGAAAACCTGGAAGGTCAGCTATGGGTTGGTTCTGACTTAAAGGCACCCAACAACAGTAATGAACTTAATAAAATTAACAGTCTTCAAAGAGGCTCCACAATTAATGTAAGAGCGAAAAATCTTCGATACGCTCCCAAGACGCTCAAAATGGGATTATTTACCCTCTTGGTCTAGACTTTGCTTTGTAAAGTAAGGGGGCTGGATTACTTCTTTAAAAATAAAACTTTAGAATGTTATTGTTCATTGTGTTGTCACAAATTTAAAGGAGCCCTGTTAGCACAATGATTCAGTACTTCTCTGCTAACTGAAAAGGCTGCAGTTCAAATCCACCAGCTGCTCCATAAGGAAGAAAGACCTAATAATCTGCTCCTGTAACAGATTACAATCTGGGGAATGCTAGGGTGACGTTTGCTTTGTCCTGTATAGGGCTCGTATATAGTGTGAGTGTATAGCATTACTTTTAAACCATGTATCTTACCACTTCTAGGTCAGTCTAGTCTACACTGTGACAGTACTCCTAATCAGCCAGGGGATGAGAACATTATGAGACTACTCCAGAAAGCTGAGGCTTTTTCATCTTCCCTGGATGAGAATGAATCTGTTTTAAATAAAAAACAGGAGGCATCTGATCAACTTGACCAGAAAAATACTGTGTATGTAGCCTGTGTCTGTTATTGCTCTCTTGGGGCTGTGACTTTTCTTTTACTTGCATATGAAATATTTACTCTGAAGACTTAGAGCCTTTTAAGAGTATATTAAATTTTATGGAATAAGTTGTATAATACTGAAGTTCTAAGTTTTTTTCATTATTGTTAACAAACTACTACTGCTCCAGAGAGAACGTGTGGAAACCAGCTGACATATTTAGTACTCTGGGGGAAAGAGAACGTGATAGAAGTTTGTTGGAAGCAAAAAAAGCTCAGTGGAAGAAGGAACTAGGTAAGTAATCATTACAGCTTGCAGTATAATGTTGTTGGCTTTAGGAGCATATATATTGAGGAAGAAGTATATTTTTTAGTATGATAATACCAAAAATCTTAGTTTATAACATCTGACAGCTAGCATAGTTCCCACTCAAATGCTTGAGAAATATTATGTCTTCACAATACCTTAGATTTTACCTTTTTATTTGACACTTTGTTGTGTGCATCAGTTCCAGAGGTGAGCATTAATGTTTTCTGTATCATTCTAGAACTCTTACAGCTTCAACAAATCCTGATTTCTCATTTCTTGAGAGTCCCTGTTCATATTTTTCCATTACATAAATCCTGGGCTTAAAAATGTGGTTTTTTGGGGTTTTTTTTAATACATACTTGATTTCATTTTGAAATTAATCCAAAGTCCTAACCAAGACTAACTAGTGTTCATTCTAAAATAAATCATAAAAACCAGGGAGAAATGTAAAAAAGAAAAGAAAAAAATTTATATACTATTAGTCAGTACCTTATAGAGTACAAACTAACTGCATTTATTTCATCTTGGGCTCTTATAAATATCTCTTACGGACTTGAAATATTAATAAGAAGTAAGAAATTACAATTTCTTCTTCGACTAGACATAGCGTCCAGTATTCAATTCGGAAAATACATGAAGTATCTGCTGTACTTCTTAGGAATAACTGTACTAAAAGCATGACAGTGGGGCTTCACCCTGCACTCAACAGTCTACTGGGACAGGTAATTTAGAAACAAAATAAACAGTATTAATAAGAAATTAGTTAATTTTGGAAATAAAGGTACCAGAAGGATAATACAGGAATTAGATATATAGCAACAGTAACAGATGGTTTAGAAGGGTCTGATGTGGTTGTTTTTTTTTAAATCACAGTTTTAGCTTTAAATATTTCTCCAGTAGTTTCTTTCAACACAAATATAGTTTATTAAAATACAGTTTCAAACTTAATTGATACATTTTATGTTTTATGAGAAAAAGTTTTATTTTTCTAAAACAAAACTCGATTGCAGTAGAAAACCACATCTCTGTTTTAGTTATGTTTTTTATTATTGTTTTCTTGGAGTTCCATTTATACATCTCTGAGTTGTATTATTTCTTTTGAAGATCTTTATTTTTTTTACTTATTAATTAATCTGTTAGATAGAGGGGTTTGGTTTTTTTAAATGAACATGTACAGAGAATTTTGATTTCCATTCATTCACTGCTGCACTTATCTACCCACCCAGCTCTCTCCCCCCATAGATAGAGTTTCATTATTTTATTCTTTGCTTTTTTGTTTTTATTCTCAGCAATTATGAATAATAGCGGTTAAACATTTACTAGTCGCTTTATGCTACTGAAATAAGTTCTGTCATTATAATCCTGTGTTACAGAGTTAAGAACTGAAGTTTAGAGAGTTTAATAGCAATACGCCCAGAGTCAAATGGGTAGAAAATATTTGAATTGTAGGTTTTCTGACTTTAGAGTCTTACCTTTTAGTTTTCTTAGATACAAGTGAATGAACATAACAAAAGAAAATTGCCATTTTACATAAAACAATTTATTCTGACTAAAATTGTTCCTTACTGATAATTCTGATAAAACACCCTTTTACATCCATTTGTACTATATTTAAGTTTGGGTCTAGTGGTTTCTTTTACTCCATATGCCTTAAAATTCTTCTCTATTTTGTGAGATAATCTCAGATTTTTTATTAGTTCTGTATTGGGATCTGCACACTTAAGACAGTCATGATTTGCTTACGTCATTTTTTTCCACAGTTTTTGTGCATTTTTTAAAAAAGGACATTATTTACAGATGAACAGGTTGCTTTAAAGAAGAAAGAAAAAGAAGCTTCTGAAAAATGGAATATTAATCCTTGGACAAAATCTGAAAGTGATAAAAGAGTCTGGGAAAAACTTCAGATTCTTGAACAATATCGAGTAAGGATATAAAAATCAAGCATTTATGAAATACAAGAGATTATAATTGTAATTTTTAAAATGCTAAGTAATGCTCATACTAGAAAAATAATTTTTTAAAAAAGCAACCTGCTTTTTATGTGGTATTTTAAAGGTGTTATTTTTAGTATTACTATAGTCTTAACGAGCCTGTATTTGCATTCTGTAAATTGTCTTCTGTATAGATATGGATAGAGGCCCCAGGCACCAATTTCTTTACGCTCCTTAAAAGAGTTTTGTCATTTTCATAGTAAGCCCAGCAGACTTTTGCCACTAACCTTGTAGTAGGGTCCATGGGTGGTGCAAACAGTTAACATATTAGGGTACTGACTGAAAGGTTGAAGTCTGTCTGTCTGTGTCGCTACCACAAAAGGTAGCTACGGAGGAAAACCAGCCATTGAAAACCATATGGGAATAGTTCTGCTCTGAAATCAGGAGTCATCATGTGTCTGAGAGAACTCACTGAATATTCTACCCTTTTAATACTCCATTTTTGCTTATTCAACATAAGTACATGCCAGATGGCCATTGGTTAGTGCTTTTATGATCCTTAAATTCTGTATGTATGCATTAAGTTTTATGCAGTGAGAAAGTTCTTCTGTTTTTCTGTTTGTTTTTAGGCATCTCCTAGCTCTCCAAGCCTTCTTTCTCCATCTCCCAGTCAAGAGTTGCCTGTCCGAGCTGATAGACACTCAGTTATTAGGAATAATCAGATTTTGGAGGTAAGTCCTCAGTGTTAATATTTTTACTATTCTAATTCCATAGAAACCCAGGAAGAGTGCAAAAGGTCATTACAAAGACAGAGGAGGAAGAAAAGACCAAAATGGATGCTAGAAGAGACTCTGAATATTGCACTAAAGTGCTGAGAAGCCAAAGCACAGGGAAGAATTCAAGATATTAAAGAGCTGAACAGAAGATTTCAGAAGGCAGCGTGGGAAGACAAAGTAAAATATTACAGTGAAATGTGAAAGGAGCTGGAGTCAAAAGGGCCAAACCCGCTCAGCATTTCTTAAGCTCAAGGAACTGGAGAATAAATTCAAACCTCAAGTTGCTATAATCAAGGATGCTTTGGGCAGAATATTAAATGATCCAGGAAGTATTAAAAGAAGATGGAAAGAGTATACAGAGTCACTGTACCGGAACGAATTGGCAGACACAGAAGAATTTCATGAAACAACATATGAGCAAGAGCCTATGGTGATGAAGGAAGAAGTTCAAGCTACTTTGAAGGAATTGGCTAAAAATAAGGCCCCCAGGAATTGATGGTATACCAATTTCAACTAACAGATGCTGCCCTAGATGTGCTCACCAAGATGTGTCAAGAAATCTGGAAGACAACCACTTGGCCAACTGACTGGAAGAGATCTGTATTTGTTCCCATTCCAAAGAAAGGTGACCCAACAGAGTGTGGAAATTATCAAACAATATCGTTGATACCACATGCGAACAAGATTCTGCTGAAGATTATCCAAAAATGATTGGAACAGCACATCAGCAGAGAACCGCCAGAAGTGCAGGCTGAGTTTAGAAGGGATTGTGGTACTAGGGGTATTGTAGCTAATGTTAGATGGATCTTGGCTGAAAGCAGGGAATACCAGAGGAATGTCTATCTGTGTTTTATTGGTTATGCAAAGGCTTTTGACTGTATCATAACAAACTGTGGCTAACTCTGAGAAGAATGGGAATCCCAGACCACTTGATTCTGCTAATGTGAAACCTATACTTGGGCCAGGAGGCAATTGTCAGAATAGCAAGCAAACATTGCATGGTTCACAATTGGGAAGGAAGTATGCCAGGGATGTGTCCTATCTCCATACCTTTTCAATCTGTATGCAGAACAGATTATCCAGGAGGCTGGACTCTATGAGGAGAAATGTGGGGTCAAGATTGGTGGAAGAGTCATCAGCAATCTCTGTTATGCAGATGACACAACCCTGCTTGCTGAAACTGAGGAGGACCTGAAGCGCTTGCTGCAGAGGGTCAAGGACTCCAGCCTACAATATGGATTGAGGCTCAATGTCAAGAAGACAAAGATTCTCACCCGTGGGCCAACTGGCAGCATGGATGGTGAAGATTGAGATTATTAACAGCTTTAGTTTGCTTGGCTCCACAGTCAACACTCTTGGCACCAGCAGCAAGGAAATTAAAAGACGTATTGTGATGGGAAAGTCGGCTATTAGGGACCTCTCCAAAGTACTGAAGAGCAGGGGTGTCAATCTGGAGACTAAGGTACACCTGATACAGGCCATGGCCTTTGCAATCACTTGTTATGCATCAGAGAGTTGGACAATGACTACGGAGGATAGAAGGAGAATTGATGGCTTTGAGCTTTGGTGTTGGAGTATTGAATATACCATTGACTTCTAGGAAAACGAACAGGTTCATCCTGGAGAGTTTTAAACCAGGCTACTCCTTGAAGGCAAAGATTCTGAAGCTTCCTCTGACATATTTTGGACATGTTGCAAGGGACTAGTCCTTGGAGAAGGACTTCATGCTTGGGATGGTGGAAGGCCAACACAGGAGAGGAAGACCCTCTGTGAGGTGGATTGAGTCAGTGAGTGGGATAATGGAGGGTGGTGTGTTGGAGACAGTGAGATTGGCACAGAATAGAGCAGAGTTTAGGGCTGCTGTACATAGGGTCGCTATGAGTCGCAAGTGACTCAACAGCACATAACAACAACAGAAAATGTTCTAATTCTTAATTACCACTTAGTTTTTATTGAGTAAATTATGTTCTTCAATTTTAAAAGTTTATTTCTTTTTGTATATTTAATCCCTCCTTCCTAAAGAGCATTTTCATTTTAACAAGTGTATTCTGAAGATAAAATATTAACCTTAAATTAGGAATGATTCTGATGGTAGAAATTTTCATCATGGTAGCCTAAGCATATAGGTTTCTTTTAGAACTTCTCCAGGCTGACTAAGTTGCTGCATATGTTGTTGTTGTTATGTACCGTCGAGTTGTTTGCGATTCATAGCAACCCTATGTACAACAGCCCTAAACCCTGCTCTATCCTGTGCCAATTGCATTGCCTCTGACACACCCATCCCGATTACCCCAGTCACTGAATCAATCCACCTCATAGAGGGTCTTCCCCTCCTGCGCTGTCTCTACTCTACCCAGCATGATGTCCCTCTCCAAAGACCTGTCTCTCCTTGCAACATGTCCAAAGTATGTCAGACGAAGCCCCAGAATCTTTGCCTCCAAGGAGTAGCCTGGTTTAACCCTCTCTAGGATGAATCTGTTTGTTTTCTTGGCAGTCCATGGTACGTACATTCAATACTTCAATACTCTTCTCCAACACCACAGCTCAAAGGCGTCAATTTTCCTTCTGTCCTCCCTAGTCATTGTCCAGCTCTCTGATGCATATAGGAATTTTAAAATTGGAAGTGAAATTTGAATTGCATTTTTCCACATTCCCAGAAACTCTAAAACACAGTATTATTGTTAGGTGCTGTTGTGTCACATAGGAGGTCTTTGTGACCCTTTGAATAGCAGATCTGAACCCTCCCTATCCTTTGACATCCCTGGCTGAATATTAAAGGACAATAAATCTTGATAGAAATAATTTTTTAAAAACGTATCAACTCATTGTTGTCATTGCCTTGGAACTGACTCACAACTGACCCTCCATTGTGTTTCCCAAACTATAATTTTCTAGTATCCTTCTTCTTTACTTTTAAAAATTAAAACTATCCAGCATATTTAGTTGTACTGTCCAGTTGTATAGTAAAGTGCACTCAGGGAGGGCAACGACTGTATAACAATGAAAGAGTTTTTTTCCCAAAGAAAAAAGCTAAGTGGTGGTGGAAGGGCAGGGAGGAAAATGTGCAACAATGAATGAATGGAAATCCAAGTTCTCTATAAACTTTGATTAAAATCTCAATGAAAAAAAAATTTTAAGTAAAGTGTAGCTCCTGTAGTTGCTCTCACCATCACCCATGAGTTTGATATAGACCCTTCTGCTAGGCTGGGTTTTTTTAAAAAATAATTTGATCTATTAGATATACAAACAGTGGTCTGCGTTAATATTCAAAACGTTAACAGTCATATTGGCTCGTCTATTTGTATAATTTTTTTTCACTTTCAAAATCTCTGACTTTTAAAAAATCTGTGTAATGTTGGAAGATGTTAGAAGCTCTGGTGGTATAGTCTGTAAGAAGTGCTGCTAGCATAGAAGCTGGTTCGAATCCATCAGTAGCTCTGCAGGACAGAGTCAGGCAATGTTCTGTGTGATTTACAACCTTGGAAACCCAGTGGAGGGTCAGCTAGGAATTGGTTCTGTCTTGGTGACAGTGAGTTTATTTCTAGAATGCAAAATGGATCATATAAAACAAATCTTTCCCAGTCATTCACAGAAGATAGCCCATTATAGCAAACTTAGAATTCAGTAGTTTCCATGGATTCATGTAATAGGACAAGGTTGTTGATGTTTTTCTTTTTGCTCTTTCTTTTAAATATCTTGCACTCCAGAAGAGTCATAATGATATATAAAAAAAAATTTGCGTTGCTTTATTTATCAGATTACTTTAGTTCCTTAGGAGTAGTTAGCTGATTATTCTTTCTGGCCAGTACTGAGTAAATTGCAGTCCAGTCCCGGTTCACTCATAGCCCTATTTTTTAATGGAACAGATACTCCATCTTCATCCAAATGAGCTAATCCTGGCCAAAACTTCCTTTGATTTTCTATACTGGACAATATTAAAATAACATTGTCACATTCATCCAAAAGTAAATTCTAATCAAAGAGCCCTTATTCTTAAACCAAACTGACCAGATCTCTTTGCTTTGCCAGAAACTTGTGAAAGTTAAAGAGAATAAAGAAATTTAATTGCTCAAGGCTTTTTTATGTTCCAGGAATGGTCCCAAGTATTTCACACGCCAGAGCATCCAGTTTCAGAATTAAGTACTTAATGCGCTACTGGGGAGCTCTGGTGACGTAGTCCTTGGTGAGTTAGAATGCTAGCCCAAAGGCTGTGTG